GCCCCGCTCACCTCTAACCCGCTTCTTTCTCAGATTCTTGATTCTCTCCCTGAGGCGGAGACGTCGCGCTTCCCCCCCAAATTACCCCCCGACCTCCCCCAGTATCGGCGACCTCCCGCCCCTCGGCCGGAGCCGGACTCGGACTGACTCCGCGGCGCGTCATGGAGGCCGTGTACCTGGTGGTGAACGGGGTGGGCCTGGCGCTGGACGTGCTGACCCTGGTGCTGGACCTGAACTTCCTGCTGGTGTCCTCGCTCCTGGCCTCCCTGGCCTGGCTCCTAGCCTTCGTCTACAACCTGCCACACACCGTACTGACCAGCCTTCTGCACTTGGGCCGCGGAGTCCTGCTTTCGCTGCTGGCCGTGATCGAAGCCTTGGTCCGGTTCACTTCTGGGGGCTTTCAGGCCCTGTGTACGCTGCTGTGCAGCTGCTGCTCTGGCCTGGAGAGCCTGAAGCTCCTGGGGCACCTAGCCTCTCACGGGGCATTGAGGAGCCGGGATATACTGCACCGAGGCATCCTCAATGTGCTCTCTAGTGGCCATGCTTTGCTGCGCCAGGTCTGTGACATCTGTGCCATTGCCATGAGCCTGGTGGCCTACGTGATCAACAGCCTGGTCAACATCTGCCTCATTGGCACTCAGAACCTCTTCTCCCTGTTGCTGGCCCTGTGGGATGCAGTGATAGGGCCACTGTGGAGGGTGACTGACGTTATGGCTACCTTCCTAGCTCACATTTCCAGCAGTGCTGTGGCCATGGCCATCCTCCTCTGGACCCCCTGCCAACTAGCAATGGAGCTCCTGGCCTCAGCTGCCCACCTCTTGGCCAGCTTTGTGCTTGTCAATATCACTGGCCTGGTGCTGTTGGCTTGCATGCTGGCAGTGACAGTGACTGTGTTGCACCCTGACCTCACTATGAGGCTGGCCACCGGGGCACTAAATCACCTCCACGCCTGGCCATCCTACCACAGGCTTCGAGAGGATGTTGTGCGGCTGTCTCGCCTAGCACTGGGCTTGGAGGCTTGGCGCCGAGTCTGGAGCCGCAGCCTACAGCTGGCAAGTTGGCCGAACCGGGGAGGGGCACCTGGGGCTCCCCATGGTGGCCCTAGAAGGGTGCCCTCAGCCAGGACTGCACAGCAGGACACTCTTCCTGAAGCAGGGCCCAGATCAGAGGCAGAAGAGGAAGTCAGAATGGCCAGAGTGACTGCTGCCTCGGGCAGGGAGAGGCTCAATGAGGAGGAGCCCATACCTGGGCAAGACCCATGGAAGTTGCTGAAGGAGCAAGAGGAGCGGAAGAAGTGTGTCATCTGCCAGGACCAGAGCAAGACAGTGCTGCTTCTGCCCTGTCGGCACCTGTGCTTATGTCAGGCCTGCACTGAAATCCTGATGCGCCACCCAGTCTACCACCGCAACTGCCCACTCTGTCGCCGGGGCATTCTGCAGACCCTCAATGTCTACCTCTGAAAACTCCCTCCCTCCCTGCCCCTCCTCCAGCTTCATGCTCAACACAGCTGCCTGTGCTAGGACAGTGTTAACACCTGATCTCTGGGTCCTGGCCTGAATCACCTTCTGCCCCCATGGCTATCATGCCAGGCCTTCAAGCCATAAGTCCAGGACATTGAGATGGGATACTCTGGAAGACTGCGACCTGGGTGGGGGCAGGATAACAGCTTCTCTTTACTCGGTGGGTCCCTGCAATGCTGAGGATGGTGTGTCACTATGCCAGGCCCTGGGACTGTTTGCTGTGGACTCCCCTCCAGCTTGCTCACCCAGATGCCAGCTTCTGGGGCTCCCCCCTCTCTGCTTTTGTTTTTTGTAGGGGACTTGCAAGTCCTCTCCCTGCCCCCTCCCCAGTCCCTCCCCAGCTTCTGCAGCCACAACACATCAGTGTTATTTGGGTATTTTTTCAAATTAAGGGCCTTGGAATGATCTTGAACCTTTGCTTTCAGCCAGAGCTCCTGTGCCTGGTAGGTTTTGGGGGTAGTATCTCTCAGATCCCTTAGAGCTACCACTTTTGCCTGTCATGCTCTTATAAAGCTCTCTCCCAACCTGATCCAACAGCTGGGGTCAGGAATTTATCTCTTGGGGGGGGGTGGGGTATCTGCACCCGGCTTTGGGACCATGAACCCCCGCACCCCAGCTCCACTGGGAGCCTCAGGAGAGATAATCAGATTTCTATTCATATTCCTTTCACTCCCCACATCACAGAGAAAAATGGCATTCCCCTTCTGTTTGTCTCTCCCTAGCATTGGGGAGGGCAGACTGCACATTTCACTAGGGTCCAAATACAGTAGGGGCCAGGGCCTAGGGGCATGCTGTTCCCTGGGGGATCTTGTGGCCCAGTTTCCAGTGAATAAAATTTTGTTGAGAACCCTGACAGCCTGTGTGTGTATCCTTGCAAGGGTGAGCAGTTGGTCAGGGTGACTGGCACTCCTGCAGGGCCCTTACTTCTGCTGGAGTCACAAGTGTGATCTGTGGGGAACCAGGTAGGGGAAGAGAGAAGATGGGGTGGGAGCACTGTGCCTTGGGGAGAGCCCATGCCAAGTGTGGCTGGATTAGCTTTTATCAGCTTGTTTTTGCCCTCGCATGAGCAGCTTTTGGAAAGCCCCTCTATATTTTTTTGCCAGAAAGCCCTAGTAAAGTGTGAACTCCCTCATCCCAGCGTTTCCTCTGGCGCTGCTCATTCCAGCAGGGAGCCTGGAGTTCCTGCTGCCTGGTGTCCAGTCTACTCTGATCCCTGGAGGAGCTGCTGCTTGTCTTTGTGTCTCTTGGCACAGAGTAGCACTGTGATGGGACCTCCTGGTGGAGAGCAGAGAGTTAAAGCTCTGTACTCCTGAGGCCTGTCTCCAGCTCATTTAGCCCAGTCCCCATTGGTAGTATCTGCCCTCATGACCAGCAAGGAGAGGGGGACATTCCCTTATAATTGTATGTTAAATCTAGGAGTCTAATGCCAGGGATGGCCTTCTGGGAGTGGGGGAAGAGGGAAAAGGGGTAGGCCAGAAAGAAACTGAGAGACCCCTCCCCTTTTTCTTGGGTTGGGAGGCTGAGCTGATGTGGACCTCGCAAGCCCTGACTTGTTAGTTATTGGGTTGGGGTTTGGGGCTGGGGCTGGCTTCTGAAGGTCAGAAGAGGGGAGCCTTGAAGTCCTCAGACTTAGTCCAGCGCACGGGGCTATGCCCAGCAGGGTGGGGAGTTCCTGTTGAACTCCACCTTGGAATTGGGAGGCCTGAAGGTGGGCTTTTTCTTCCCTTCCCCCAATCCTGGAGAGGGAGCTGAGCAAGGAGAGCCTTGGCTCCTAACAGTTATGTGAGTATAAACATTTTATGAGAGAAGATAAACTTCCTGAATTGGGAGCAGAGCACCCTTTTCCCTCCACCCCCATTTGGAATTCCATTGGCCAACCTCCATACCCTCTCTCCTCCCCAACAACCTGGTAGTCAAGAGCTCAAGCTACCACGGGTCACCGCTGCATTCTAGAGCTGGGCGCCCTCTTGTGTTCATTTCAGAAACTACTTATCTCTAGACTCCCAGGGACACTTGCTCCCCTGGCGTTGGGGATGGTAGAGAAACAGCCTGCCTTCGAGTCACCTAGGGCCCAAGCCAGCGGCAGGGAAGTGGCCATCACTCCTTTTGTTGATCAGAGCAGGGGGCGTGTGGTAAAGGTAGCCCCTACCCAGTTCATATATCATCTCATGAGTTAGAAAAAGGTGGCCAGAGCCCCACACCAGGAGGGTACCCTCCTCAGCTAGGTACTCCTGTTAACAGGGGCAACCCTGGGAAGTGGCCTCTCATTCACTTGGCCCCTCCCCCATCTCTTGCCCCTTAGTTTGCCCAGCCCAAGAGCCCTTCCTTCTCCCCCCTCTACATCTCCACTTCCCTGCCCTCAGAAACAGGGCATCCCCACAACAGAAAAAGAAAGGCTGAGCCAGTAGTAGGAGGGTTTTTGGATTTATTGAATGGTCTCTAAGAAAAAGGCCCAGGAGTGGAAGGGAAAAGAGAGGACTCAGAGAAGCAGAGGACCAGGAAAAGAGCCTTGGGGTCTGGGCCAGAGGACCCACACCTGCCAGCACAGTGCATTCCTTTGGTCTTGGGCAGAAATCCAACCAGCGCCCTAGGCTGCAGGCCCTAATCTCAGACAGCCTCTGTCCCCACTCCCTGCCAGCAGCAGGACAGCTCCATCCTACCTCCTAGTCACTCACGACATTCCAGGGCCAGCCTTCCCGGATGTGGCTAACAGTGTCACACACCCCTCCCCTAGGAGAGAGAGAACAGTAGGCTCACTTTCCAGTGGGCATCAAGCGAAGACAGGGGAGTTGTGCCAGTCAGAATATACCAGAAATCCAGAGAAGGTGCTGTCCGTCTTGATGCTGGCATAGATGCCAATGTAATCACCCACACCGACCTGCACCCACACCTGGTCCTCGGGCTCCAGCCTCACCATGGCGCCCCCGGAGAGCGAGGCTGGCTTGGGCCACCCCCCAAAAAACTGGAAGAAAGAGGCGACGGACTCCCCGTTCTTGACCAGGTCGAACTGCAGGCTAGTCCGGTAGACGGTGGCATGGACCGCGAAGTAGTAGACCCCGGGCACCTGGCAGGTGAACTTGCCGGTGGCGGCGTCGTAATGACCCTGCTCGTTCACCAGCACCCGGTCGAAGGGTAGGGGCGCGTCCAACGGCGGAGGCACGCGGCTCTCGGAGCGCTTGGCACTGAAGGCGGAGCGCGGAGGCACCGAGCACTCCCCCGCGGGCCC